ACACTATGGAACATTTAGTGGTGATCATAACCGATCTGCTATTTCTCACCAATAACACTATTGATTTATTTCACTCATTAATTGTGATGTTTTACGGCGACAAATTCTGAAGCTGCACGCGAACATAATGCTTCACACAAACTGCATTCTTGCATTATTCTCATGAGTAAAGAGAGAAAGGAGTGAGTGGAATGCAATCTAAAAGTAATTTGTTACATCATTTTCTACCATAAGGTAAATTTCAAAGCAATGTTATTCGAGTTCAACTACTTTCATGAAACAAAAATGCAGGTGATCTGGCTCTTCTATCGCACACGCAACAACAAATGCAGGAGAAGACGATCAGTGTGGCGTTAGCATCAGCAGCAGTTAGTCTCAACGTATTTAAGGGGAAAGCAAGATTCTCTGATACGAAGCAAAATACACCAACTAAATCACACTTGACAATGAAGCTTTGGGAATATGTTTCAACCTTTTCAAATATGGCCAGCATTACTGACGAGCAAGATGGATCTGATGCAGATGCGAAGGTACGGATCGGGAAATCAAGGGCTGTATGTCTACAATTGAAGAACATCTGAGACTCAAAACAACTGTCACAGTTTGTCGACACTTCAACACTTCGGATTCTCTGATCGGATACTTTCAGCCAGAACCTGCTGTAGGAGAGAGCGAATCAAATAACGGTGCAGGAAGAAATTAGAAAGAAGGTAGAGAATAGGACACGCATTGCAAAGATCACCCAACCGCGTTACAGGATAAGCCCTCACCTCGAATCCTCAAGGCCAAGCGGAAAGAGGAAGACCAAGAACACATTGTGCCAAGAACAGGAGACAGACATGAAAAGAATGAGAAAAAGTTGGACAGAACTGGGAAGGAAGGCCCAGGACAGAGTAGGTTGGACAATGCTGATCAGGCATAAAAAATAAAGGGAATAGAGATGTCCTATCAACATAAAGAAAAGTGAATGTGGTAAAATTGTACTACCTTATTTTGGGGTGTGCGGAATAGACATGTGATTGCAACTGCTGAGAATAACGATGTACCTATACTCGAACAAAGGTTGATGTCAGTGTGCTCAAACATATAACACCTGTCCAACGATTGATCCCATCGAACGAACACACTTTGAGTGTGATCACATGTGTGCATGTGGAACGACCAACGTCCACTATAAATACAACCATACAATGAATGCAGTCAACAATCGAGTTAACCACTCATCAGACAACCGATAAATCCAACAATCCCTTCATCAGAGAAACACCACAATGCGATTCCTCACTGTATGTTACAATTGCGTTGTGTGATATTGTTTGCATAATCGGTCTTCTCATTTCAGCTCATCATACTTGTACTGGTCGTATCGTTTGAATGTCAGAATCCAGGTGAGCCTCATATTACTCTATGCTGGTCAATTTCATTTGATCACACTACTTGATGCTGACACATATTGACTGTATTCATAACTTTGTGCTCATCCTATCACATTTGATATTTTTAACGTTTTGTTTCTGATTGATTTTGCTTTCAGTGTTAGCAGACGTAGCTGGTGATAAGGCCAGCGAGATATTCGATTGGATTGGTAAAACTATTAAAACGTTTTCAATGAATTCTGATATAAATGCTGATGGCTCGCCTGAGGAAGAGTATTGATTCCAAATTGTTTAAAAGCCATCCAAAATCAATATTGTTTTCCCTGAAGACACTTCCTGATTAGTATACCAATTACTTAGTTTCAATAAACTTATTTGATACATAGTTACTCATAATATGTATTCAATCAAATAAAAAAATTAAGATGAAAGATTCTCTGCTAACGATTTTGTTTCCAATATTTTACAGCTGTTTATCTGCGCGGACTTAAAATTCCGTAGGTACATCATATTTTTCAATCAGATGAAGCATGATTAGCAGTTAAATACACGATGACCGTTTCATTCTAATCGAACTTAGTCTTTTGAATGTTATCTCAATTGCTTTGCTGGTGTTCACGGAGGAGGGTAAAATTATAAGTTGTTATTTTAACCACCAAAATATTTTTTTCTAAGTAACTCTGTTCGTAATACTACAATATATTCTTCACGCCAACCGAGTACCAGCATTGATATATTGTTCTTTAAATGATATAGAGTCATGCGAAAATGAACAAGATTAGTTGAACTGTCATGAATTCTTGAAGCTTCTTTATCACGATATTCAAAAGACATTTTATGGATGCATTTTTCTAGCTCTTAAAGATTACATCGATTGAATCATGTGATGGAACTCCTTAAAGTTTGAATGAAATATTCTAATAACACATCAGGCTGGTGGTATCGTGGAGCTGCAAGTAGATGACTGAATCCAAAGCTAGAAAGCCAGCTGTTGGAACCTATTTCTCTTAAATGGGTTCCTTATCGGTGTTCATTTACGAAGGATTATCTTTATTGCCCTTTGAGTTAAGTTTCGTTAGAGACAATTGAAATGTGAATAAATAATAGCTAAAGCGTAATATAAGTTTGAAAACTGGTCTCAGCCAACAACACGAACACATTATCATGATTTACGCGACACAGACCAAGGATTGCGAATAGGTTTATTGAGGGATGGCTTGTGTAAACAAACAGGAAAGCTTTCGCAGTTTACATTTATATGACCGTCCACCTAGGGCTGGCGTTCTGTCTCCATAATAACATACAATTTTGAAATTGTCAGACTTTGTATTAACGAAGTCGAGGTTAGATGATGATCTAGTATGTGTACCAACACAAGTGACTATCATGACTGAAAGCTATGAACTGTATAATTTTCACCTACAAATGTATTCGAAGTAACAAGCCTCAGTGCAAATAGCAAAGGGCGAATGATAGTTCATCAGTACCACGCATACATGAGCGTGTTTATAACTATTGACTGACAAATAGGGCAATTACGGTTGCACTTTCTCTAGTGACGTCATCAGTGAATAATCCGACCTAGTCGTAGGATTACGTAGGTTCAGTCGTAAGTCACGCAGGTAACACGTTTCCTGCTCACGTCGAACAGAGAGAGACTATTCTTCCAATGAATGGCATATTCAAGTATCGCCAAACCCAGATGTCCAGATTTCCCCCCCATACGTTCGTGTGCCGATACACATATGTGAATTTTTAGATTCAGCGTCGTATGATGAGTTCATTTATGACTAAATTACACTGTAGGTACTTCAAGCTAAGGCTGAGTTGCTTAATCCCTTTGATTCAAGTAACTCATCTACAAATGTTTCAGAATTCACATAATAGATTCTTGCTGCCTACATGTATCCGAGATACACTGATAACCGAACACAAATCTTTTACAAATAAGAGAAAGTGCAGTTGAACTAACTCTATCACCAGATACCGACAGATCGAGTAACTTTTAGTGCAATTTATTGTTGATGAAAAGCAAGATTATGATTACATTTCTGAGGTGAAGTAATCAATGCATTATTTGACGGAGACTATTCGCCGAATGAATCGCATAGTCAAGCATCGCCAAACCCGTGGTGATCGGAGTTTTTCGAATTCAGTGTTCTAACTAATGATACGTTGGACTATCTAGTTGTTACTTTGGTAGTCACATATGGACCAGTATTTTGGTCAGAAAGAACTGAACTTGCGCAATCCAAGGTGTTGTATTTGGAATTGGAGTTGGGTATGAGATCCTGTACAGAGGAATTTTCAATCAGCACGAACAACAAAACGTAGCAAAGTTTTGTGATTACACTGACTGATGAGTCAATTACATGTAGAGAGTGGACGGTCTATAAGATAAGAAGTCACTGAAACCGTCAGTGTTTATTCTGTAACTTGGGAATACCTTACCACATCTCATCATTCTACTGTCATCACTATGATATTCCTAATAAGGTGGAAATGATAATGTTGACGTTCAGTAGCTCACATACGTGTGAACGAAGAGATGAATATCATGTCTGTCTGGTAACTGCTGAAACTCCGATGAGTTTGTACCGTCACCTAATTCGGAATTCCTACTACCCAAATATCTAGCGAGGGAAATAGGTGGGAATCGACAATCATGTCAAACTGATGATGTATCACAAGCAAAATAATACACTGTGAAATCGAACCACTGTTTAACTGCTCACTTACTGCTCAATTATTAGACAAGAAAACTTGTAATCGGGATTCCTTTCCGATGAATCCGTGAACGTTTTACTTTTCCATTCTTGTCATGTGCATTCTCAAATAACTCCACCACTTCAAATAAACACTCTCAGACAATTGGGAGAATAAAGTGTTTCTCTACTGTGATAACTGCTGGTATTCAGAAACCCTACTACTCTGAAACAAACGTATTCGTTCAAATCACGGGACATACAAACTCACAAACAATTGCCAACTGACTAGAATTAGACAGTCGAGTAGCTAGACTCTCATTCATTGGATACTACCAAGCACCTGAAACCGTACCGAAAGAACAATAATCGAGTGCAAGGAAATCAATCGCTTTATATTGGATATTGCCGGATAGTCAGCTTATCTTTTCTTTTGTTATTTTCTTTCCTAGTTCTCCCTATTCACGCTACTCTGCATGCTCCTTGTGTACATAAGGCACTAGGCTTGATGTGAGCTCCTAAAAATTATTTGTTGTACAATGTACTTGAAAGCCGTATTTGAGTAACAAGGTCACTTGGCCGTCCTGGCTGCAAAAATTAACATGTCGAAAATGTCGAATGTTGCCAGGCTACTCCGTGTTCAGTTCTACCCGTCAGTCAAGCCATGCATCTCACAATTTACGTCTGTACAATCGTTAACAATGTCACATCGTTCCTTTAGTTCAGTGAGTAATGGTTCTGTCACCCCATCAGATAAGCGGGAAGACCTTCCGTCAACTAGTGTAACTGAAAAAGGTACATTAAAATAATGTTTATGACTTCCGGAAAGCAAAACAAGCAACCAAAGATTTTGGATATTTTATTATAGTTCTTGGCGGCTTTGCGCTTACTGGTGAGTAAATGATAGGTCTGCTAAAAGTTTTATTAAATAGGCTCCATCTTGTATGCAATAATACACGAACTTTTTTCTTCGAAAAGCCCGAATGGTGTTTATTATGATGCCTTCAAAATATGTAAGACTGACAGTCGAGTGCGTTTACAGTAATCAGAAAATAAGACCCAACTTAATTACTTCTCAGGTACTAGATCTTTTTGGGAGTTCGCTCAAGGCTTATACTAGCTACAAAAATCGTGGTAGAAGACGAAATATTGAGTAAGATATGATATTTGCTACGCTCTGCAGTCTAGATAAACTTTTAATTCTTAAAGTTCATTATTTTTCAGTTGACTAAATCCTTGAACTCATATGAATCGCGGTACCTAAAAAGTTTCAAAATAATTTGATTATAAGCGGTCACCATACGTTTTTGTATTATGATACAACCGAGGAGACTGTTTGTCTTGGTGATTACCTTTTCGAGCAATCAGTTCTCGAGCTTATTTTGTGGGATATTCACCCAAGATTTATCATTTCCTGTCTTGTTAATGAATGCGTAACTGCAAATTTTATTTAAAATAAACAGCTCGACTTCACTCTAATCAATATTCTGTGTTTGTTATCCAACTTATGAAATATCTTTGAGATAACCACTAATCAGTGCATGTACGAACGTTACCTTAAAGATGCATACCGTTTCATCAGTTTCTGTAAGTCAGATCCTCACCGAATGGTTGTAATTAGCTTCATGCAATTCACAAATGATCATCTGGATAATGGCTTGAAATCATCTCAAATAATATCTTCACTCTTAAAGGTTAATTAATCTCTAAATATCTATCAACTTTCAGTATAGCTTATTATTTTCAAAACACTAGCATTAAGCTATGTAAATTTCCAAACAAGGGAGTTATTAACCATACGCCTCTAAAAAATTAGATTGATTATTTGTGTCCTCACTGGTAAACGTAAGTTCCATAATTTCGGTTTTATTGATCTCTTATGATAATGTACATTAGATGAGTTCTTAGAAAACTAACGAGGAAACCGTGAGCTATCTGGGATAGTTGTTACTGTGCTTTAATTTTCTTTTGACAGGTATGTGGTCAGTTTAACCTTGGTGTTCAGCTATGACTTCTCTCACCAGTTTCTTGAGTAACAGCGCTTCTCTACAAACAATTCTTTGCAACTATTACAAGCTGGAATTGTCAGTCAGTCAGTTGCAACGTAGAACTTCGTACGTAAGTACATCAGTTCATGTCGCCGTACCACATCAGCACAGAGATATAATTGTCAATTCAAATCTAATAGTAGAAGAGGTAGTAAAGGTATTAGAAGTAATCGGAGAGGTTAGGATTAGAAGATATTATTCACGAAGTATGATTCAGTGAGATAAGTTTAGAAAGTAAAAACTAGAGGTGTTGAAGATCCCAGAAGATTAGGATTTGAGAGAACACAGAGAATAAATGCACCGGCGCCATTGCGAACGATTTTGAGCCATGTCATTCAAGGTCTCTAGCCATCGATTATTATCATCTCGCGGACCCCAACCCGGTAGTCGACAATTACCGACATGGCTCAGTCCACTCGTCAATGACTTCATGGATTTATGCCATGTTTTGGTCTGGCCGCCCCTAGCTTTCTTCCAACCTATTCCTACACTACAAAACAAAGCTCGACGAGGCAGTCGGTGGTTAGGCATACGCAACACGTGTCCCGACCACCTCAACTGATGAAGTTTCACCACTTCATCGATTGATCTGCCATTCTTACCTAGTACCCGTTTCCTAATAACAGCGTTGCTCACTCGGTTGTCCCACGATATACGAGCAATGCTTCGAAGACACCTATGATCGAAAACCAATAACCGACGAGTATCTTCTACTCTCATTGGCCATGTTTCACAGCCATAAAGTAATACGGAGCGAACCACCGCGCAGTACACACGTCCTTTAGTCAGCAAACGGATATCTCGCCTACGCCATAAGTGACGCAGGTTGGCAAAAGCCAATCGAGCATTCTGTATCCGTGCTGAGATTTCGTCAGTCACCAGGCCATCAGCACTGATGAGACTCCCAAGATAAGTGAAGCGGTCTACACGTTCGACTACTTCACTCCCTATCACTAGTTCAGGTGCCAATGCAACCCAGTCTTGAAGCAACATTTTGCATTTCGAGGGGGAAAACCGCATCCCGAACATGCTTGCATTGTTGCTTAGGGTAGTCAGAAGACTCTGCATTTTGTCAGCGTCTTCACCAAGTAGGACTATGTCATCGGCATATTCTAAGTCAATAAGCGAGCCACCTGGTAAAAGGTCTACTCCTGAAAAGTCAGACGAGGATAAGGTTATGTCTAAGAGCATGTCTATGATAAAATTAAACAAGAATGGAGAAAGTGGACAGCCCTAACGGACACCATTTGAAGTACAGAATTCCGGTGACAGTTCGCCATAAGCTCTCACTCGACCAGTGGTGTTTGAGTAGAGAGCTTGTATGAGGTTAATGTACTTATTTGGTACACCTTTCAATGACAGACACTGCCACAGAACCTCACGATCCACTGAGTCAAATGCCGCCTTAAGGTCCAGGAAAACAACTATTGTAGGACGCCTAAATGTGTGTCTGTGTTCCAGGACCTGTCGTAGTGTGAAAATGTGGTCTATACAGCCACGTACAGGTCGAAAACCAGATCGGTTTTCTCGAGTTTGCTCTTCACGAGCTTTCGTCAAGCGTCGAATATTACTGAGGCCATTATTTTAGATACTATATTGGTTAGACTGATTCCCCTGTGATTGTCACAAGAAGACTTTTGTCCTTTCTTATAGATTAAGACAATCAGTGATTGAGATCAGTCGGATGGGATTACGTTCAGTTCCCAGATTCTACCTAAGATCTCAGTCAATCTAGCTGCTAAAACTGGACCACCATCCTTAAATATCTCAGGGGTCAGTCTATCAGGACCTGCAGCTCGTCCTCGCTTCAGATTTGCTAACGCTTTTTCAACTTCATTAAGACTAGGGGGACTTAGGTCGATTTGCCATTCAGGATGACTGGAGATCGTGGGTAACTGAAGAGTGGCTCGAGGCCAGTTGAACTGATCCCTAAAGTGTTCTGCCCATCGATCCAGTCTCCTGGATCGAGAATAAATGAGAGTCCCATCAGTTTCTGAGATAGTCTCACTTACACTAGGATTCCTAACACCAGTTTCCTTGATAAGTCGGAAAAGTTGTCTACTGTTGTCGATCGCCGCTGCCTTTTCCATCGCTTTTGCTTTCGCCACCCACCACTGTTCACGGTCGTTACGTAGGCTTTTTATAAGTCTGCGCCTAAGTTGACTTCGTTCTTCATCATGTTCAGAGCCAGGTGGGATGAGTTTTCGGGCATCCATCAGATCGGTGGATGCTACTGAGATCCACGGTTTCATTCTAGCCTTATGGTCAACCTTACTAGCAGATATCACTGCTGTTTCCACAGCCTTTTTGATATCATTCCATCCTGCTTCTGGATGGGAATCGCTTAAATGGTCGCCGAACTGTCTTTCTAGTTGTTCCTGAAATATATTTTTCGCCTTATTATCATTAAGTAAAACCCTAAGAGGCTTCCTTACGGTGTCTTTCCTACGCCCAGTAAGCTTCAAACAAATACGCGCTCGCACTAGAGCATGATCTGAATCTAGACATGTGCTCCAGAACGAGCGACAGTCTTCTATCGAACCCCTCCATCGGTGGCTGATTGCGATGTGATCTAGTTGCGTCCAACGTTGAGACGACTTCGGGGGTCGCCAGGTCAACAGATGCTTTTCCTTATGCCTAAAGTTAGTGTTTGCTAAGAATAGGCGGTTATTGGAGCATAGTTGCAACAGACGGTCACCATTGTCTGTTCTCTGAGCCGCGACACCATAACATCCACCTAGGTGTCTTTCATTTTCAATTCAGTCTTCCTACTTGAGCATTAAAGTCACCAGCCATTATTACTATATCAGAGCGCCTAGCTTTTTGGAGGAGGTCCGAAAGCTTTCTGTAAAACTCATCCTTAACCTCGTCTCACCTGCATTCAGTGGGGGCATAGGCAGATACGATGAAGAGACAACGGCGAGTGTCCCTGTCTTTCCGAGTCCTTACTTTCCCGTTTAGTCGGACAGCGCACAAGCGACTATCTATTGGGATCCAGTCAAGGAGGGATTGTTCTGCCTTACGACTCAACACTATGCCTACGCCAGCAAGACCCCTGGAAGCAGCATCAGGGCTACCGGATACACGAAGAGTAAATCGCGCTGCTTCTTTATTTTGACATGGTGTGGCCAAGTGTATGACGCGACTCGGATCCTGTATGCGCGTTTCCGAGACGCAGCATACATCGATGGCACGAGTTTCTAAAGTCCTAGCTAAGGAAGCCTGTTGCCCTATTTGACACAATGTCCGTACATTAAATGCTCCAACATGTAGTCTAGAACGAGGTTTAAGGAGACCAGGAACGACGTTTCGCGAACTCGTATCGTCTGCATTAGCTGTGCACTGTGATGAATGAATGTGAGAAGAGTTAGTCGTGGAGATAAGAGAGGTACTAGGGGGTGTAGGAAGGATTTGATTTTGACCAATTTAGTCTCGCGTGCTGTTATGGGTATGAGGGCGGTTGTCACTTCCCGGCTGCCCACACCGTGGAAGGTTGTTTCTTGAGGGACCTGAAAAGGAAGATAGATTAGTGTTGGTCTTGGAGACCTGGGAGCGTGACTGCAGAGTCCAAGGGACAACTGCTTGAGGCCGGTCACGCACGGCCTTTTTATGAGAGGTATTTAGAGGATTAGCTCAGTTCTTAAAGGCCCTTAGTGGGCACCCTTACCCAAGGAGACGGAAATCCGTGAGTTAGGGGAGGTGTGACATTTTTAGGGCCGACCTTTTCTAACCCTTCCTTCCTTGTGAGAAGGCAGCATCGCTGCAGATGCTGGTTGTCCGAGGGAAACACCTTACTGCTGTCATACCTCTCTGCAGTCAGCAGTACGACTTCGCCCTCAGACCTTGGGTAGCTGTTTTTAGTCTCATCGTTCTCCAATCGACCTGTCTGGCATGGTAGGACCTGCAGGAACATATGTTCCAGCCAGTATAGCTCGGTTGGGTCATCACGATAGGCAAGCCCGACCACCACGTCAAGGTAGCAGCTACGGTCGGGACAAGCTGGGATTGATATAAATCAAACTTCTATAGTGCCATAATTTCGTAGTATACAGCAAAAATTCATATGGTTCTTTATTCGATCTCACTCAACCATTCACCTTCTAGGTATATGAGAATTCAATGGCCACTTCTTTAGACTCTTCATCTTTAAGTTACCCATAAAATCACAAGACATTGCTTACACCTGTCAACTATAACAAAGCATGATTATATCAGTTATGGAAAGTAAAAATACAAAGAACACGTGAGAGGCTTCATTCAAAAGCCTACATCATCTACAAGTGTTAAGCATATATATAATACTTTGCTGACCTAGATAGGAGGGATATGTGGGCTGTGACCTTGGTCGGATAAGCGATTCACTTACTCATAATAGTCCAGTCGACACTAGCTCTTTTTAATCGTAATGGTCTATCCGGACTGGCCATGTATATCAGCTCTGTAAATAATTACTTAACCCTCTACTTTAACTTCGGTCTGACGAACTTGAGGCTTATGTTTTCCTGGGGGAAACAGCAAAACTAAACCAAGTAGAAAAACATCTATCCTCCAATTGTTCTCTGGCAGTCCGCTGCTCTTCGTGACTTATTGCCCGCTTAATAACTGTTGAATGGTTCAGTATTTGACAGCGTGATTTAACGATTGATCTATACTCAAGTGATGTAGTGACTCAAGTACACATATGTCCTCCCCTAACTCGATGTACAAAACATAACTAAAAGTACAGATTCATCTTCATAAAAGAACAGTTCGTATTTATACCGAAGAAACTCGGTCCATTAGTCTATTCACTAACGTAAATCATTAGTTCGAATCTCCATTTACAAGGGTTAAGCATCTATGTATTATTATTATTAACTATCGCTCAATAAGTGTAGCTCATAGCCTACTACACAAACTGACAATTGGATATTAAAATCTCACTTGCATTGTTTAAAGAGTGAGGACAGAAAGTCATTAAACCAGTGAAATAAATGGTTAGCGAAATTTCAGTCAATCATAACGGAATAGTAATTTAGTCAAAGTTAATCCATATCTAAAGGTGTTTGAATGCGGTTCTCCAGAATCACTAGTTTGACGTTAAAGATCAAGGATAGTTTTATCTAACAACTGCCGGTTATTTCAGTTTGCTATGAGAAAAGCTAGCACCTCAACTCACCATATCCCTAATTATTTAGTGCTCATCAAATGCATATTCCCCTTACTTTCTATCTCTTGATATATACCGATGCTCAAGAGATATAATTGAGGGAATTCACTGAATTATATGTCTTGAATAATATCTTCGAACCCTAATCTTCCTCATTACCGTTAATACTTCTACCACATCTGAATTGACAGTTACGTCTCTATGCTAATGTGGTATGGCAACATGAACTGATGTACGTACGTACGAAGTTCTACGTCGTAGCTGACTGACTGACCATAGTCATATTCCTTGTCCTAAAGGTCCTATTTGATTTTGTAACCAGGAATTTCCTCAACTTTCCTGGCCAGTTTATCACTCAGGATGGCTATGTTCATCTAGGACGTTAACCAAATTTCTACACAACTACCGTGTATCTGCCTGAAGCCTTTCAACAGGTGATACACCAGGAGATTCTGTAAGTGACTTAGAATAATAATGTGACTTGGATTACGATAGGTGGGTCGTAGTCGTTCACCAAATCTGACTTATTTTGAATCCTTAGATTAAAGATCTCTTGTTGTTTAATGTATTTTGCATGTTCTATCTAAATTTCGAATGGTCGATTAGCTCGTTGGTTTCATCCGGCCAACACCCTTAACTGACATTGAAGAATACTGTGCTTACTTGTATGCATGTTATGCACGTATAATAAAAAACCACTGAAATAAAAATTTTCATGGATTGTACTCTAATCGTTTACAGTGTATCAATTAATATTGTATCACAATCTATTCTTGCATCACTAACCGCATTCGTTATTTCAGGTTCAATTTTGATCCAGTTAGTTAGTGTCTAACCTTGCTTAAGGCTAAATTATGTGGGGGATAGTTTTATTGGTGAGAAATACCAGATCGGCTATGATCACCACTAAATGTTCCATACTATCCCGTCATTTATATCAAAATGAATCCATGTTTCAATATTTTATTGAACGAGAAAGTAGGCATTACATGGGGAGCAGCGCGTTTAGAAAAATGGCAGCAAAGCGAAGAGAACGTTGCGCGCAAGAAGTCGAAGTGTTTTTGGTACAGTTAAACAAAACGAGTACAATAATGTTTATTTTTCACAAATCGTATTTTCTTCGTAGAAGTGTTCCACTACAGCAGCCCCCCTAGAAGGGGTTTACACTTTCGATACATCGCGGCTGCGTTCGGGAGGCTGGTCGGCCAACATTTGATTGCAGTGCGGAAGGGTTGAGGAACAGGAAGCGACCAATGAAGCTCGTGTTGTCACCGATAGTCTTCTACATTGAACTGTACCAGTAGTAACGTGCCAGGTTTGCTGCTCGTGTTGAACTGCCAAGTTTGTCTATAGGATTGGCATGCCACACCAGCGTGGCTCGTATCCAGAGTCTGAAGATTGCATTCGTAGGGGTCCGGACCAGATTCAGCGAAGGAGCCAGAAACGATGATAACGACCAGTGCGAAACCAGATATATTCGTAACCAGAACATCGACTGAGTGCATTGACAAGAGCGTGGGTGATCAGGCCAGCTTTCGCCAAGGTTGACTGAAGTCGACAGTACCAACAGGGCAATTGTTGGAGTCGTGGGCTCAGGATAAAAAAATAAAGGAAGAAGAGAAAGGTGTAGCATACATGTAGTATGAGGATAGTGTTCTATCGGTTATTCGTTGTTGATTGGGATATTGGTCGCGAAGGCGTATAGGTAGGCGTACGCGGCTACTGGAACGCGAGACGGTAGTCTCGTGCGTGCCTCGTGAGCCTGCAATCTCATCCGAAGTCAAGAGCGGCGTGGTCTGCTGATCTGGACGTGAGACCGTAGTCTCATCCGTAGATAGGGCAGATGATGTGTGCTGTTGACTGGGATGTGAGAAGGAGGTCTCTGATGCATCTAACGTGGGATCAGAAGAAAAAATAAGGATCCCGCTAGTGAGTTGGACGAGTGAAGCATTAAATCTCGATTTACCAGGTAGCACACTGTCATTTACGTGTGCTGGTATGAGACGATCAATGGTGACTGTGTCCATCAACCTTGAAGGTCTTTTTGTGACGAGAGATCACGTGAAAAGATCCTTCGTAAGGTTGTTGAGTACCGAATCTACTGGCAAGAAAACTTGCGGACAAGTAAATAACTCTCGAGGGAGAGCGACCTGTCGATGTTATATTCGAATTCACACCGGAGACAGTATTCACATCTACGCAGATAGTCGTTGGACGTTATCTGATATACCTAGAATCGCTGCTCCGTTGTGTGAAAAATTCATCAGGCAGATGAAATGTCGTGCGTATACAAGTTCAGAGGCGAAACATTGAATATCTGCCGTTGCTGCTGACGATGTGGCTTACCACATAATTAATCACCAGTTGAATCTCCTCGGTTTTGTTACTTTGGGGAACTTATCAAATATAACATGAAATAAATAGTAATGCAATATATATATATATATATATATATATATATATATATTGGTGATTCGGTACATATCTGTTTGCGCGTTAAAACCCATGGGTTTGATATTCGACGAAGTATCGATTAACGCAGCCTACGCGAATCGAATAGCAATTAATAGTTCTGTAAAGAATCGATACCGAGTATGGCTATTGGAATATCAGCAGGGATGAACGCCCATACGGTCATCGATTATTCAGTTTGGTCGTTAGCTGTCGTGTACCGTAGGTAGGAATGACAGAGCCATTCGCAGCACGTGGTCGAAGCATCGTAGCTTATGATCTACTGCTACCAAACGATACGACAGAAACTTGGGCACTAGTGGCCACCAAGTATCTAGCGTTAGTGCGAAAATCGAGCACGTAAAATAAACTAACAACCTGAAGTGACGGGGAGGAGACAGGTGAAAATGCAATGACCTGCATCTCGGAGTCTATTATTATAGCCATCCACCATCTTGGAACATTGTTGCAAGTATAATATATATTGAAGACATTATTAATAGTATTGCTACATTATAAAAATGGAGATAGATGAATAATAGACCCAGCGTAATTGACTCCTTTAGAAAAAACGTCTGCTTACTAATTTTAGTGGTGAGAGATACCAGATCGGCTATGATCACCACTAAATGTTCCATACTATCCCGTCATTTACATCAAAATAAATCCATGTTTCAATATTTTTTTGAAGGAGAAAGTAGGCATTACATGGGGAGCAGCGCGTTTAGAAAAATGGCAGCAAAGCGAAGAGAACGTTGCGCGCAAGAAGTCGAAGTGTTTTTGGTACAGTTAAACAAAACGAGTACAATAATGTTTATTTTTCACAAATCGTATTTTCTTCGTAGAAGCGTTCCACTACATAGTAATACTAGTTGACTATCCAAACCGCGTTAGGTGTAGTAGGATTGGAACCTCCAACCTGTTGTTCAAAAAGAAAGTGGTTTAATTACCAGACTATATGGATGCACCTCATTATAAGAAATTGTACATTATCGTATAACTAACTAGCTTACCGTACATCCGTATTTTTCATCTTTGTCGACGATTAGCTCTTGTTTTTTTTCACGAAACGTCCAGCTGCGATTCATGGTATGATGGTGAGGGTCGACTTCATATGGCAATGAAATTTTACCTTGAAGGCAATTTGGCATCTGGTGTAGTTCATCTCGAGGTTGTGGAAGTAAGTTGTCTTTATTATTCAGTGTAAACAAGTTGTCCAATATCAACGTTTATCCTTAATCTTTTCCAACTTTAAATGTACTATTGGAAATGTTTGTATCTCAATTTATTAGGTGAAGCATATTCTTATCTAAAAGAAAAGAACACTAATATAAGATTTTTCCAAATCTTAAGTGAATAAATGTCCAAAATAATGAGCAAAATGTAGGCCCTAATAATCAATGACCTCTTATGTTTATCCTTAATCATTTAATAAACATTTGTTAGGTAAATCATGCCTTCACGGTTGAGTTATGTGCATAAATAACATCCCGAATTTCAGCATAAGTGTATTCTAATGACTAATGGTTCTGTCTTTTAAAATCTATTTAGCTAAGATCTGAGGGATTACTGATTTTTTCAAATTCAATCATCCCAGTAATTTATAAAATTACTTTAAATTCCCATAATAATATTGGTCAGTGCAACAGTCTCTCACCCCGGTGTACCTTGTGATAAAGCTCTTTTCGACCAATAAACTGATACATCGTTTGTACCACGTTAATAATTCTTTTGTAATGTGTAATAAATAAAATTGTCAGTATTTATCTGACTTCGTTTTTCATTTCAAGATCAGTGGTATCAGTATGTTAATTTCTTTCTTTACTTACGATAAATAATTGAGTGGATTTAATCTCCTCCAAAGGTTAATCTGACATTCCATATCAAAGGCGAAAAACACTAAATCACAGTCACCTATGAGACGTGTATAACTTTAAGTTATTGATTTACATAATATCTAGAACCTAATCCAACAAATTTAAACCCAACGCAACTACCCTTTGTTTCACAGTATCATGTTAAAAGCTGATCGCTTATTTATAACCAACCTTTATCTTGAATAACTATCAACGATGCATGCATAATGTTGCGTCAGAATTCGTTGGCGTTGACACCTGAACTAGTGATAGGGTGTAATTAGTCGATCATGTTGACAACTTCACTCATCTTAGGAGTCTCATTAGTCTTGTTGGCCTGGTGATTGATGAAATCTCAGCATGGATACAGAAGGCTCGATTGGCTTTTACCAAGTTGCGTCTCTTATGGCGTAGGCGAGATCCGTTTGCTAACTAAAGGACGAGTGTACTGCGCAATAGTTCGCTCCGTCCTACTTTATGACATGACCAACAAGAAGCGAGGACATTCTTAGTCTACTGGTTTTCAATCATAAGCGTCTTAAAAACATCGCTCGAATATCCTGGGACTACTGAGTAATCAATGCTGGAGTTAGCTAAGGATGGCAGGTCAATAGATGAAGTATTGAAACTTCATCAGTTGAGGTGTTTGAGACATGTGTTACGTATGCCTAACCACCGACTGCCTCGTCGAGTGATGTTTTGTGGTGTATGAGTAGGCTGGAAGAAAGCTTGGTGGCGGGCCAACCAAAACATGGCAGAAATCCATGAAGTCACTGACAATTGGACGGCCATATTAATAGATGTAGACTACCAGGTCAGGGTCCGCGAGATGATAGTAATCGATGGTTGGTGACCTTAACTGACATGGCTCAATATCGTTTGCAACGGCACATGTGCATCTATTCTTTGTATTTTATCAAATTCTAATCTTCTGGATTCCCCCTCACATTTATCTTTCTCTTTTTAAATTTGTTTCACTGGATTATACTTCTTTCGAAATATCTCCGAACCCTAATTTTCTCCATCACCCCTAATACTTGTACTACCTCTATTAGCATGAGATTTGAATTGACCATTCTATCTGTTTGCTAATGTGATATGGCAACTTGAACTGATGTATTTACGTACGAAGTTCTACGTTGTAGCTGACTGACTCACTGATCAATGATACGTCTTCGATGCAACCACCTAAAACAATTCTTGTAGATGAAACTCTAAAAATGATATACTTAACGGTAATTGAAACTGATACATGAGACTAACCAGTGAAGTTGCTCCTTGCCAGTATGAGAAGTATAGAGTTCCTAGTTTGGTCCTTTAGGTCTTATGAACCTGTAGTTGCAGATTCTGGGTGATAAAGTTAAAAAATCCTCGTAACACAGAATATCTGATTACCTTGCGATGATTTTGTTTTAATCTGTTCATTTTAATATGTCTCTCCTTTTGTTAAAATTCTTCTTTGTTTAAAGGAAACATGTCGACTTGAAGTGGTACATTTTTCGGCTACGTTCTATATTTTATCTTAGCATCCAAATACCCCGGTACGGCCGAGAGTGAGAAGAATCCGTTCCTCCTCTCGAAATGCTTTCATATAACCATTGTCAAGGAAGTCTTACCCGCTACCTTTTCATGGCGGGGTGTTTACGAGGTTTAGAGGACGAAAAGTTAATTTTTTGGTGCTTAAACCAGGTTGGTGGATACTGAAGATCCACCTAGGGAAGTTGAAAAACCGTGGTTCTTTACTTCGCCAGTTTGCATCCGCATATGTAGTTAGGTTGTTGAATCTACTAACTACACATAGTTTCCAGTTTAATTTTGAAACCAATGTCAGGAATTACAAATCTACTCCTGATACATATTTGTTTCTATTGAATAGAGTAGAAACACAAACATCCTAAAACGCTGAAAATACAGAAAAATGAGTTACACTAAACGAGCATAAAAATATCCAAACCGGCTAGTTTTTTCTCAAAATAAAATCACGATTAGCATCTGTCTTTTAATTTGAGTATTATTGATTGGAGGAAACTGGTCGGCGGCCTAAACTCCATTGGGGGTAACAGGCGTAAGTAAGTAAAGTAAGTAATTATTAATAATACAGAGTTGCAACAGAGCTTTAGATATCATTTTATTCCAATACGTTTAATTTTAAATCTTTTTTTTGTTTGCAACACTTCTACAGTGTCTATTACTAACTATCTCGTATGAGTAATTAATATTTTCATTTTAATTGAGCTTCTGTAATTTGTTCATCTTGCATTGTCTTGTCCCACCAAACTTTCGACTTAAAGCAGTTTATAATGCTTATGCCTCCTGATAGTAGTTAAAGTTGGATTCTTGTAACCGATGTATGGTCATTCTGTTATTATTATTATTATTATTATTATCACTAATTACTTCCCGTGGCTGAATCGAACCGTATATTTTTAGAAATTTATAGTTGGTCAGTTTTTGTTGAATAACCAAAATGCCCTTGTAATAATAACTTGTTATTTTAATCTCACATTAATTGTTTTCTAAACTAACATAAATAAATATATTCACTATTACTTAACTGTGAAAATACCAGTTTACGATGAAAAGTCGTTGTATACATTATTGATTCGATAGTGTTATAATTTCTAGTGTAATAATTCAAAATTTTCTACTTACTAGCTTGTTAAACATCCATTCAAATAAATATAAGGAAACTTAGTCCCATTAGTCTGCATTTATACAGACTACTTTATTTTAGGATTTCAAGTGGATAGGTAGGTATATTTTTAATAAGCAAGTCAGTTTCGTCAAATTAACTTTCTCTTTTAAATACTACTACTTGCATCTTCAAATCCAAATTTACAATATGAGTGGTAAAAAATGTTTGTTTGGAATTTATACTACTTACCACTAGAAAGTAGATAAATGTATGACTTGTATATATTCGTTTTGAAAAACCGGTTAATTTTTTTTCTACAGTTAAGCATAAATTCATAAAAAAATTTTCTTATTTTCTTTTTCTCATCTCATCAGAATGATTCTAAAGAATTCGATTATGAATATCTAATTGTGGAAACAGAAGGTGGTTTCTCAAAAAAGCAAATTGTACTTCGTCCCATTTCGAAAGGCGATCAATGATAAAACTCACTAGAAAAAAATGCTTTTGATATTATTCTGCACACATGTATAATTTATAAATATTTAGCCTATATAAAATGTTTTATTCATATTTTACAAGTGGTTGATTAAGTCAAACCATGTATAGTCTCCCTAACATCTACATAATACGTTGCGATAATGTTTTTACACTCAGAAAATTTGACAAGATTTTTAAGAATTTGAAGTTATCATAGTCTTAGTTAAGTTCTTTCCTCTTAGCGTAATTGGTTGGTAAGCCCATCCACTTTCGACTGAGATACCCTTCATATGTATTATGCATCCCCAAGCACCGCCTAGCTGGATGCCTAATTAGGGCGGTGGGAAAGTATATTGAGAAAAACCTAAGACTGACAAAATTATAAAATAACACTAATTCACAAAGTCATTAAGTACTAGTCTGAGCGGTAGTTCAGAACTGGTCTCATTAGTTCAAAAGCTCCGCCTGTAGACCCTTCGCGACTACTGCTGGTCGCAAGCCCGGATAAAACGGGGTTTGGGTTTGGCGACCCCATCCCGCAAAAAACTAACTCGCTAAAAAAAGGCTAACAAGAAAAAATGATTCGAATTATATAAACTCTGCTGTGCGAGTTAGAAGGTCTTCATTTGGAAGGCTTATGTCGTCTCATGATGAAAGCCAAGTTTCCTCGGAAGTCGTGAGGCCGATGCCCCTTCTGACAACCAGAACCCTTCCATGGTGTGGGCAGCTAGGGCGTAACATCCACCCTCATACTCATAAAAGCATACGAGACCAAATGGGTCACAATCAAATCCTTTTACACCTAATAACTCTCTTGTCTCCTCGACCAATCTTTCCTTCGATCGTCTGTCACCTCGTGCCGCTGATCTCGTACTAAATTACATATTCGGCCTTTTAGTGTTCGAACTTTGTGCCCAGCAGGCTTCACTAGCTAGAACTCTGGAATCCCTTGCGATCAATGTTGTGTCTCCGAAACACGCACACAGGATCCGAGTAAAATCATCAATTTAATTTCACCTATTGCAGACAGAGAAACAACACGGTTTACGCTTCGTTTTTCAGGTAGAGCTGATGCTGCTTCCCGTGGCCTCGCTGACGTAGGTATAGTATTAAGTCCTAGGGTTGGACTGGATCCCGGTAGAGAGTCGCTTATGCGCTGTTCAACTAAATGTGACGGTACGGACTTGTAAAGACAGGAAAACTCGCCGCTACCTCTTCGTAGTATCTGCCTACGCTCCCACTGACTGCAGGTGAGACGAGGTGAAAGATGAGTTTTACAGAAAGCTGTTAGACCTCCAAAAAGTTAGGCGCTCTGATATAGTAATAATGACCAGTGACTTTAATGCTCAAGTAGGTAGACTAAGTGAGCAGGAAAGACACCTGGGTGGTTTTTATGATCTCGCGGCTCAAAGAACCGACAATGGCGACCGTCTGTTTCAACTATGCTCAGACAACCGCCTATTCTTAGCAAACACTAACTTTAGGCATAAGGAAAAGCATCTGCCGACCTCCAAAGTCGTCTCAACTTTGGACCCAACTAGATCACATCAGCCACCGATGGAAGGTTTCGATAGAAGACTGTCGCTTGTTCTGAGGCACAAGTTTAGATTCAGCTCATGCCCTAGTTCGAGCGCGTATTTGTTTGAGGCCTACTGGGCGTAGGAAAGACACAGTAAGAAAGCCTCTTAGGGTTTTACCTAATTATGATCAAACTAAGAATATATTTCAGGAACAACTAGAAAGACAGGCGACCATGCAAGTGATTCCCATCCTGAGGCAAGTTGGAATGATATCAAAAAGGCTGTGGAAACAGCAGTGATATCTGCTAGTAAGGTTGACCATAAGGCTAGGATGAAGCCGTGAATATCAGTCGCATCCATCGAACTGATGGATGCCCGACAACGCATCCCACCTGACTCTGAGCATGATGAAGAGCGTAGCCAACTTAGGCGAAGACTTATAAAAAGCCTGCATAACGACCGCGAACAGTGGTGGGTGGCGAAAGCAAAAGCGGTGGAAAAGGCAGCGGCGTTCGGCAACAGTAGACAACTTTTCCGCCTTATAAAGGAAACTGGTATTAGGAATCCTAGTGTGAGACTATCTCGGAAAATGGTGAGACTATTATTTACTCTCAATCCAGGAGACTGGATCGATGGGCAGAACTACTTAGGGATCAGTTCAACTGGCCACGAGCCACTCTTCGGTTACCCACGATCTCCAGTCATCCTGAATGACAAAACGACGTAAGTCCCCTTAGTCTTAACAAAGTCGAAAAAGCGTTAGGAAATCTGAAGCCAGGTAGAGTAGCATGTCCTGATAGACTGACCCCTGAGATTTTTAAGGATGGTGGTCCAGTTTTATTAGCTAGGTTGACCGAGATCTTAGGTAGAATCTGGGAACTGAACGTAATCCCATCTGACTGGTGTCAGTCGCTAATGGTCCCAATCTATAAGAAAGGACAAAAGTCTTCTTGTGACAATCACAGGGGAATAAGTTTAACTAATATAGCATCTAAATTGTCAGCCTCAACTATACTTAGACGCCTGACTAGAGCTCTTGAAGAGCAGACTAGAGAAAACCAGACAGGTTTCAGGCCTGGACGTAGCTGTATAGACCACATCTTCACACTACGATAGGTCCTGGAACATAGACACACATTTAGGCGTCCTACAATAGTTGTGTTCCTGGACCTTAAGGCCCATACCAGACCCATAACAGCACGCGAGACCAAATTGGTCAAAATCAAATCGAATTCCTACACCCCCTAATGTCTCTCTTATCTCCACGAGTAACTCTTCTCACATTCATTCATCACAGTGCACAGCTAATGCAGACGATACGAGTTCGCGAAACGTCGTTCCTGGTCTCCTTAAACCTCGTTCTAGACTACATGTTGGAGCTTTTAATGTACGGACATTGTGTCAAATAGGGCAACAGGCTTCCTTAGCTAAGACTTTAGAATCTCGTGCCATCGATGTATGCTGCATCTCGGAAACGCGCATACAGGATCCGAGTCACGTCATACACTTGGCCACACCATGTCAAAATAAAGAGGCAGCTCGATTTACTCTTCGAGTATCCTGTAGCCCTGATGCTGCTTCCAGGGGTCTTGCTGGCGTAGGCATAGTGTTGAGTCGTAAGGCAGAACAATCCCTCCTTGACTGGATCCCAATAGATAGTCGCTTGTGCGCTGTCCGACTAAACGGGAAAGTAAGGACTCGGAAAGACAGGGACACTCGCCGTTGTCTCTTCGTCATATCTGCCTATGCCCCCACTGAATGCAGTGCAGACGAGGTTAAAGATGAGTTTTACAGAAAGCTTTCGGACCTCCTCCAAAAAGCTAGGCGCTCTGATATAGTAATAATGGCTGGTGACTTTAATGCTCAAGTAGGAAGACTGAATTGAAAATGAAAGACACCTAGGTGGATGTTATGGTGTCGCGGCTCAGAGAACAGACAATGGTGACCGTCTGTTGCAACTATGCTCCAATAACCGCCTATTCTTAGCAAACACTAACTTTAGGCATAAGGAAAAGCATCTGTTGACCTGGCGACCCCCGAAGTCGTCTCAACGTTGGACGCAACTAGATCACATCGCAATCAGCCACCGATGGAGGGGTTCGATAGAAGACTGTCGCTCGTTCTGGAGCACATGTCTAGATTCAGATCATGCTCTAGTGCGAGCGCGTATTTGTTTGAAGCTTACTGGGCGTAGGAAAGACACCGTAAGGAAGCCTCTTAGGGTTTTACTTAATGATAATAAGGCGAAAAATATATTTCAGGAACAACTAGAAAGACAGTTCGGCGACCATTTAAGCGATTCCCATCCAGAAGCAGGATGGAATGATATCAAAAAGGCTGTGGAAACAGCAGTGATATCTGCTAGTAAGGTTGACCATAAGGCTAGAATGAAACCGTGGATCTCAGTCGCATCCACCGAACTGATGGATGCTCGAAAACGCATCCCACCTGACTCTGAGCATGATGAAGAGCGTAGTCAGCTTAGGCGCAGACTGATAAAAAGTCTGCATAACGACCGCGAACAGTGGTGGGAGCCGAACGCAAAAGCGATGGAAAAGGCAGCGGCGATCGGCAACAGTAGACAACTTTTCCGCCTTATAAAGGAAACTGGTATTAGGAATCCTAGTGTGAGACTATCTCGGAAAATGGTGAGACTATTATTTACTCTCAATCCAGGAGACTGGATCGATGGGCAGAACTACTTAGGGATCAGTTCAACTGGCCACGAGCCACTCTTCGGTTACCCACGATCTCCAGTCATCCTGAATGACAAAACGACGTAAGTCCCCTTAGTCTTAACAAAGTCGAAAAAGCGTTAGGAAATCTGAAGCCAGGTAGAGTAGCATGTCCTGATAGACTGACCCCTGAGATTTTTAAGGATGGTGGTCCAGTTTTATTAGCTAGGTTGACCGAGATCTTAGGTAGAATCTGGGAACTGAACGTAATCCCATCTGACTGGTGTCAGTCGCTAATGGTCCCAATCTATAAGAAAGGACAAAAGTCTTCTTGTGACAATCACAGGGGAATAAGTCTAACTAATATAGTATCTAAATTGTCAGCCTCAACTATACTTAGACGCCTGACTAGAGCTCTTGAAGAGCAGACTAGAGAAAACCAGACAGGTTTCAGGCCTGGACGTAGCTGTATAGACCACATCTTCACACTACGATAGGTCCTGGAACATAGACACACATTTAGGCGTCCTACAATAGTTGTTTTCCTGGACCTTAAGGCCCATACCAGACCCATAACAGCACGCGAGACCAAATTGGTCAAAATCAAATCGAATTCCTACACCCCCTAATGTCTCTCTTATCTCCACGAGTAACTCTTCTCACATTCATTCATCACAGTGCACAGCTAATGCAGACGATACGAGTTCGCGAAACGTCGTTCCTGGTCTCCTTAAACCTCGTTCTAGACTACATGTTGGAGCTTTTAATGTACGGACATTGTGTCAAATAGGGCAACAGGCTTCCTTAGCTAAGACTTTAGAATCTCGTGCCATCGATGTATGCTGCATCTCGGAAACGCGCATACAGGATCCGAGTCACGTCATACACTTGGCCACACCATGTCAA